TTCTCATTTGGCTGAATTCACTCTTGTTGCTTGGATTCAAGGTGCTGAGTAGGTGTTTAGGAGCTTGCGGACGCACAGAATTCTTCTTCCTTCTTCATTCACCATCTCTTTCAAGCTTCTTCTTCCTTGTGCCTCCCGGAGCTCGGAAATTTTGAAACCGAGGTAAGGGAAGCTAGTTTTCTTCGCTATTTTTGGATGCCATTGAGTTCAAGTAACTCAATAGTTGTTGAAGAGGTTGATTCTTGGCTGTGATTGAAGGAAATTTTCGTTTTCGGGTTTCCGGGGTTTGGGTGCAAATCTTGGGGATTTCACCTGTTTGATGGTTGCATGTTGGAAATGAAGTGTTTTTCTTAATGCTTGATGAAAATGCTGGTTTTTGTTTGGTTTGCATGCTGGTTTTCTAGTTGTTTTGCAGAGTTGGGTGAAATTTTCGAACTTGCTAGTGTTGCTGCTGAGCATCGCGCTGAGCGCAGTTCTTCGCGTCGGGCGCGTGGCCACCAGGGGACTCCATTTAGGCAAGCCCGCCGGGCGCAATGATGGGTGCGCTGGGTGCGCTTGCGAATGTGGGTCTCTGGCTGGTCCGCGCTGGGCGTGACTTGGACCGCGCTGGGCGCGATACCAGTTGTAACATATTTTGGAATTCTTGGTTCGGTGCTGAGCGTGACCCTTGTCGCGCTGGGCGTGAGACTCATTGAGAGTCTCTACCTTGTGGGCGCTAGGCGCAATTTGAATTGCGCTGGGCGCGAGACCTTGGGGAGGTCTCTGCCTTCCCCGCGCTGGGCGTGGGTTTGGGCACGCCGGGCGCGTGAGACTCCTTGTAGTCTCTGCCTGGCATGCGCTAGACGCAATTAGTTATTGTGCCAGGCGCATGAGAGCCTTGGGCTCTCTGGTTGAGTCTCGCCGGGCGCGGGCATGCTTGCGCTGGGCGCGCTGGCCCCCTGGTGCTCTCTGGTTGTACCGCGCTGGGCGCAACCACGAGTGCGCCGGCGCGAAGACTTGATTTCACTAAATGCTATTAGAAGTTGTTCTATGTTGAATGTAAGCCGAAATTGATGAATATGATGTGTTGATTAGTAGATAATGCTGTTGATGATGTTGAGCTGTGTTAGATGTCATTGTTGTAAGTTGTGATGTGCTGTGTGCTGACAAGATGAGCTGAACTGTAGGCTTCTAAGCTGTGCTGTGTTGAAATTGCTGTTATAAATTGTTGTAGGCCGAAAGACTGAGTTGTTGTAGGCCGTAAGGCTGAGTTGTTGTAGGCCGCAAGGCTGAGTTGTTGTAGGCCGTAAGGCTGAGTTGTTGTAGGAGATCTCCGAGATGATATGCGTGACGACGCATTGTGTGCTCATTGTCGTTATGTTGTATAGTTGATGAGATGTATTGTTGATGTTGTGCTAATAAGTGGTAGTTGTTCATACTTCATGTATATGTTTATATGCTGATTCTTTTCACTAGCTTACCCTTGTTGTTTTCCATGTGCTTGGACTGCAATGATCATACGTTGTATGAGAGCAGAGCAGGGTTAGATTGGCGATAGAGACAAGTCTGCAGCTGGCAGAGGGGGGAGTCTTAACTTGTTGATGTTTTGGATGTTAAGCCACTATCTGGCTATTTTGATTGTATTTTGTGTTGTACACTCTAACTCTAGTCGGATTGGAACTTTGGTATATATATATATTCTAGATCCTATATTTATATACTCGTTCTATTCTATCTAGTGTTTCCGGTGTGCTATGGTGGTGAGTGTAGTGACCAGCTGGGTCGTTACACAAGTACTTTGAGTATGCGAATTCTAGTTAGAGCATCAGCAGTGACATCATGCCACATTAACTCTTTTTTACTTTATGGGTTGCTTAAATTTTAACAAAGTTGTTTGTAGAAGCTTCAGTACTAAAATTTAAGTAACCCATAAAGTGAAAAAAAGTTAATATGACATGATATGACACATGGAGTTGCTTATAAGCAACTCTTATTAGAGATGCTCTTAGTTGAGTTTGTACTTTTTGCCACTAGTAATGATTTATTAAGTATAGTGATCCAATGAGTCATACTTGCAATTTATTAGTAATAAATATATATTGATAATAGTAAATTAATATTATAATATAAAATTATAAGAACTTTTTTGAACATTTATGTAATTTATATTTTTATTAAAAAAACTATTTTTTTTATTAAAAATCGTAAATTTAAGTCAAAATTTGATTTTACTCCATCTTATCTAAATAAACTCAACACCCAGAAAGATGATTTTAAAAATTAATCTTTATAATTAATGAACTTTTGTGAATTTTTATTTTTAGTTCCAAAATAAAATTTATTTAGTTTCAGTTCTCGAAATTCTTCTTTAAATAAAAAAAAAGACGTTAGGGACCAAAATATTAATGGACAGAAAATTTTAAAGACTAAAATGAAAATTATCAAAAAGTAAATGACTAAACACATATAATTTAAATTCATCTGAGATTTCAACTCGAAGTGCTTAGATGAAAAATTTAAATAGAATAATTTATATTTTTGAAGGATTTCAAATTTTTGGAGGCAAAATATTTTGTTTGAATGAAAAATTTATAAATAATTTTAAATTCAAATATTTGTAAAATTTCTTAAAATAATAGAATTTCAAATTTTCTTCAAAAAGTAAGAGTGGGAGAGAAAGAGAGTAAGAGGGAGGGAGAAAGAAAAATAGAATGAGAAAAGGAGAAAGAGAAATAGAAAGAGAGAGGGAGAGGGAGAATGAGAGAGATAGAGAGGTAAAGAAATATTTTTTTATTTTAAAAAGAGACATTGTGATATTTTTATATATATGAAATTTCTTCTCTAGAAAGTTGAATTTCCACCTCCCATGAAAATGTTTATATGAGAAAGTGAGATAAAAATATATTCGATAAACTATATTCCTAAGATTTTTTTAATAACTATAAAACATGAGAAATCAAAATTATCGATTTAAAATTTTCAAAAATAAAAATATTTCTTGTACCAAACACTCTCTTAAAATAAGAAAAATTAAAAATAAAATAATTCAAATTCCTTAAATCTCTAAAATTCTTAATCCTCACACACAAAAATAATCAAACACACTGAAATGTATATTTTAAAAACATTTAGAATATTTTTTTTTCTAATCGAAACACATATTTATGCGCACATCTCAGTTAGATTTATTTGTTTAAAATTCTTTTATATGAAATTTGATTTTATCAAAATCATTTTTACCTGGCAAAAAAAGAAAGAGTAATAGACCCTATAAGGAGGACGGGGACAAAATACTGTATTATGTTTAAAACTCAGTTAAGTTAATCAAAATTTAAAATTCAAACTGTAAAATAAAAAACATTTCCTCGTGAAAAATAAATAAATAAATGGATCAACGTTTCAAATTTAAACTTGTTTTTTTTAATAAAAATAATGAAAAAAGTCTAATAAAAAATGTATGTCACATGAGATATTTTATTATAATAACCAGAGACAAAGAGAAATTTTGTGTTTTATTTTAAAAAATGAAAAAACAATTAAGTAATTACATAAAGAGTACAAAGATTTGAGGATTGAAATTATAAAGAAGAAAAGAGATAATAAAAACTATATAAAAATAGTGATTTAGAAATAATTATAATTAGTATTTTAACTTCTACAATACACATACATATTTATTATATATAATTAATTTATAATAAATT